AGATGCGCTTGTTTAACCTTTCCCCATCTTGGGGTTCACCACAATTCATTAGCATGGAGGTATTGAGGCGTGATGTGCAGATTTGTAGGTGCTTGTTTAGTCTTATGCCATCCCACATCGGTTATTAGGTTTCCACTCTGTGCAAAAGACAATCAATTATTGAAAACTGCCCGCAGGATAACAGACAGAAGGAGTCAGAAACCAAGCTGTAGCTAAAATTGCAGAAACATCCCAGTCAGGTTCGTCGGAAAAATAACTGCAACGATCTTGGTGACTGATTGTGTCGGACGTTGAATGCCAGAACAGTAAGGTGATTTAGGTGCTGTTGATCGATGACGTTTTGGGGGGGACACCTATAGCCGTCGCGGCTATATGAGGAAAAAAATGGAACGGTCCTTTCTACTCTAACTCCACAAGAATAATTACATAATCCGGGAACAGGACAATAAAAATAATGCTTCTGAAACAGCAGACTCAACTAGACGCGTGTTTATGCGTCCTAGGAAGAAACCACAGACGTATATTTTGGATGGGATGCGTTCTACCGGGATAGATTTAATAACCTAACTTTTCAGCCGAACATCAGGCAAAACGTGTATACCAACTTCTGTGTCTACTTCTAGGTCGTTGCCAACTCCAATCTTATGCTCCAAGGTGCAAGTGTGAAGGACGACCAGAGGGAGTACTTTGTCATAGGCCTGGGTGTGCTCAATGTGGTCTGCACAATTATCGCCCTTCCCCTGTTGGAACGTGCGGGTCGTAGAACCCTGCTGCTCTGGCCCACATTCGTCTTGGGCATCACCTTACTTCTGCTGACCGTCATGATGCAGCTTATGGAAAGCAAACCAGATGACAAGAAGGGACCCTATGCAGTCGGCTGTATTGTCCTCCTCTTCCTCTACCTGGCCTGTTTCGCGGTGGGACTGGGGCCCATCCCAGCTATGATCGTTTCCGAGCTCTTCCGCCAGGGTCCGCGAACGGCTGCCTACTCTCTCAGCCAGGGTGTCCAGTGGCTTTGCAACTTTTTGGTCCTCATCAGTTTTCCAATCTTGAATGTGAGTGCCTTGTTGGCTCCCCGTACACCCGCGCTTATTCCTATTAAGGTCCATTTCGTCGTCTCTGTCGGAAGTTGTTAGACCTGCATACTTGCCCCACCTTACACTGCGGCCGGAAAGACATGCAAATTGCCAATACAAGTGAACATGCGAGTTCCAGGAAGTAATTGAGAAGGAGAAAATATTCGATGGCTGGGGCAACGCTTTTTATTCGCCGAAAGTATTGTGCCAGCGATCGAATGTTCTTCGCAATTACTTCCCGAGGCTCGCATGTTCGCTTGTAAAGGCAAGTAACAGTGTTGTCCCAGTAATATAACCTTCTGTTCCTTCTCAAGCCATGCAAAATTTTGCAATTAGAGAAAGATCAATAATCACTCGAAAACCGCCATTATCGCTCTTTGAAATAGTAATGCAAAAACTTAAATGAATTTGTGGCTTAAAATAACTATAACAAGTAATAATTTTTTGGTAGGAAAGATTAAATTTTCCTAATAATATGCTGGTTCCGCAGACGTGAAATTTAACTGTAAAGTAGAGCAATTAATTTGATTATGATCGTCGGATGACATCATAAACATACTATTTTCTTTATTTCGAATGGAATTTTCATAAAATTTCTTTAGGCATATTCCAGGTATTGGATTACAATAAGTTTCAGAACTCCCTCTAAATTGCGGCAAATTTTCGCCAATTTTCGGTGTATTCAAGTTTTCTTCCATAAATATAGATTTTGTTTGACGTTTATATCAGAACCCTTAGAATAAGATATTTCTCAAAGGTATTTAACAAAAACGTGAATTTCTGAAAATTAGTTCTTATGAGCCATATCTCTAAACTACGCAACACACCATAATTTATTGTCGAGCAAAAGGTACGTCCGCCACAGAAGTTTGATTCTGTCATATCCAAGATCAAGTAAAAAGCTTTCTATAGCAGGTTAACTCTTAAAAAAAACATTTTATGAGATGTTTAGCTGACTAATTTCTGTGCAGATGACCTTCTTCCAAGGTAACATCAAGGTGAAAATGGAGAATTTTTCCCATTTTTATAATTTGCCTCAGGATAAAGGATAAAATATTGGCTGAAAATGAAGGAACTCATATTTCTGTTTATATTGGAGTATTTTTTTAATCATATTTGCTTACTGTGAAGGCCGTTCTAAGATTGCAAATATAAAAACACTGACCAACTACATACTAAGCTTTTGCCAATAGTTTTAAATCTACTGTTTGTTCCGTTTCTAAATTGCGCATAAGCGGAAATTACATTTGTTTACCGTCCCAAGTCGTTGATGCAGTAAAACAAAATAAGAGAGAACACTTTTCTGCTTTTGTGAAAAAAAGCTGCAGACATTGGCAGAAAATAATTTTGAAAATGGAAATTATTCCTTGCTTCTGAAAAACGGTAGGATTCCTTAAACGTGGCTACGCCTGATTTTCATCAACTTGAGAATAGACTTTCCGGTTCTGGAGGTGCTATATTTTACTATATAGTATAGGAATTTTGTTCGCCAAAATTCTGCCTGCTAGCTTTACATTTACTTAATTAAGCAGGCAGTTTTTCTTACTGGAAGGCTTTCTCACGATCAAATCCACTCATTAGGTCAAAATAACACTTACAAAGCAGAAACAGAGAAAACAAGTGCCCTTTTCTTTTTGGTTTCGTCCGAGTCATCCTTACCAAATGTTTTAGGGTCGTGCCCGCTTACACATATTCAGTATCGCCCTGATCAATGTTAACACGACTGGTGTTGGTTGAAGCCATCGTCTTCCCCTAAAGAAAGATACTCCTAATTGGTTGAGATTTCGAGCTCTCGGTTGCTATCACCTATGGCTGAATTCGCTTTAAAAAGGCGGAAATTGAAAACCTTGCCAAAGCTGAGTTGTGGATTCCGTTGTCGAATGAACTGTAATTGTACTGAGGTTCATTTTAGTCCTGACAGCTGTCCATCAAAGGCAGCTCTATGTCTGAGCCAGTTTAGGTGTAGTGCGATTTCTCTGTAGTCTTATGATTTCTCAGTTACTTACTGCCTGCCCGTCTTCTTTACAGAAAACTATGAAAGGCTACGTCTACCTACCATTCTTTGGTGTGGTTGCCGTGTGCTGGCTGTTCTTCTTTGTTGTCATGCCCGAAACAAAGAACAAGACCTTCGATGAGATTGCAAAAGCGCTTGCCTCAAACAGCAATGTCAACAATCCTCTGCAGTATTACCGTCGTGAAAGAAGACGGGGCTCTTTTCTTCCGCGCTTGATATAAGTGCTGGCGCGCAACAGAAACTCATGAAGAGTATATGTAGAACTTACTTCGGCATGACTCCCGAGCACACATGTTGTATGTCTACGGTGCAGATAGCCTGGGAAATACATGCACCATGAACTTAGGATTCCCAGTGACTTGCTTTTAGCCCACCGGAAAACTGAGCACGCGTATTAGCGTTCCTTCTGTCCTTCCTGTACATACTGCAATGATGAACGCAATACAGAGATGCCACTCGCAAAGCCTTTCATTAAATTACTTGGATTGCAAGACGATGTCAGGACTTCTTAAACCTAAAAAATGCACTCACCGGGGTGCGGGGGGCAAGACCATGCCTGTGATCGAGTAACTGAGAGTTAAATAACAGGAACAAATTAGAAATATAAATACTTCGTGACTATAAAGTGCTTCCAACAATATATAAATACTACCGACTAACCGTTTCTGATGTTTTGGTAAGCCAACGTATGGGGGAATCTGTAATGTCTTATCCACGATATCTATTCTGCTTGAACTTCTGTTGTTCTGGTAAGGAAAGCATATGTGGTCAGGAAATGGGAACAAGCAACGCCCGTAATATCTGCAGCTTTACGCTAAATCCCAGGGAAGTGGAGGCTGGGGTTGAGTCTAGGCGTAAACTGAGGTTGGCGTTTAGGATACGGTTAAGGTTTGGATCAGGGTCTGAACACGAAAATATGAAGTGACACGCTAACGCCATTTTCCTCCGCGTCACGTCAAACATGAAGTTTTGTGATGGCAAGCCTCGACTTACCTATTGGATGGCTGCTGACTTCGCGAGAAACCGCCTTTAGTAGGCCAACCTCAATTCGTCCAACGAGATGCCCGCATTAGTAGGCTAGCCTCAATTAGTAGTTTGGCCTCAATCCACCCGGTCAGTGGCTCTCAAGACCAACTCACAAAGATCTCAATGTGGTGACTGTAATACGGCCGGCACCTCAGACGCACCCCGCTAGCTTGCGGACGGGCGCTCGTCTGACAGTCAGATCTTCTCCTATCTATTCTTCGCTACTTCTCTACAGAATAAACTCTTCCTACCACTCTGGCCTTCCCGTGACTTATCACCTCCTAGGAAGCCGGGCATGCAGATGGTAGTGACAGGGGTTACTCTTATTAACCTTAATCCCTCGATACTTACATACACTTCCTGGAATTTTACGCAGGGCCACCCACCTTATATTGTCGGATGTGCCTATTCCAGTGTTTTGATGAAGAGAGGAGGAGGAGGAGTAGGAAGAGGAGGAGAAGGAAGGTAGTCAACCATACCGACCCTTTTCAGTCAGTCAGTTAGTCGACGTATTTTAGGAAAATAGGCTCATACCTTTGAATTCCCCATATGCCATATCAAAATCTCAAGAACTAGAAACTATTTAAAGAAGCTATAGGAGTTGAGGCTAAGGAGGTTAACCCTAACACCTACGACCTTCCAGGCCCGGTTACTTAGGTGATGAGAGAAGAGGGTGGGAAAGCCAGAGTGCAAGGAACAGAAT